GTAACCTCAAGGCCAGACTGCTGTAATGTGCTCTACGTGGGGCACAAAAATACTGAGCTAGATGGCTGGCCGGCAACTTCTCATTTCCTATGAAACCTGGGTTTTTTTGCAGTTTGCAACCCCCTCCCGATGCTCACTAGGGTGGCCTATTGCCAGCCTCTCAGCTTCAGCCTACCTAAGAAGGGTTCAATCCCCAATGGCTTCGCTAGGCAGGGCTGGAGGGGATGCCTGCCTAAAACCTGCCAGTCAGTGTAGACAGTATTGAGCTTGGTGGACCACAGTCTGATTTGGTAAAAGGCAGCTTCCTCTGTTTTAAGGAAAGCAGTAGGGCATCTGCTTTGCCTGAAGGAGGTCTGTAACCAAGAAGAGTCACTGCCAGACAGGGTTAGACAATACTGATCTACGTGGACCAATGGTCCTCCAATCCTTGCAAGAAAGCTCTTGGTTGTTTGAATGTATCCGCATGCAGTTCAAGAAAATGCACATTTTAAAAACGTATTTAGATGCATTGTTTTTCCTCGTTTGGATTTCTCCTTCTTAAACGCAGAAGAAATGAGGAGGAATGGTGGGCGACCATCTGCGAAAGCGGAGCTGGTTGGAAACAGACAGACTCACCCATTTCTGTGTAAAACAGGCATCTGACCCAAAATCAGACTCTTTGCTTCTTAAGCCTGGCATAAGGACGAAGGAAGAGGATGGTCCCCCAACCCACCCACCCCTTTAGAGCAGGGGAGAAAGAAAGTGCTGTGTTTTAAGTAAAAGGCAGTGGGGGGTGGAAGGGAGAAGGAACATCCGTACTCTTGTCAGGACCAGCTTGACAAATACGGTCATCAGTGGCACACGGAAGTAGTTGCAAAGCAGCTGTTAATCAGGGAAACACATCGCAGAACGCTGATGCCAGCACTCGTGAAAAAATGCAAGAGGCTAATTATGAAGCTATATATCTCGCTAAGGAGGCACCATTCCTGGAGATTCCAGATCAAGCTTTCAAAGAGTGAGGATCTTGGGCTGGGTGTGCATTTTACGCACACACAAAAAGCCTTCCTGATAACCCCGAAAGCTCGCCTCATAGGAATCTGCCTTCTTCCTTTAGTCAAGATTGCTGGTACATTTACCTCTACACTGACTGCCAGCAGTTGAACTGAGGAGCAAAGCCAATGCTCTACCACTGAGCAGCACCCTTCCCATAAAACTTGGGAACGTGGTAAGCTGCCTTATACTGAGCCGGACCATGGCCCACCTAGCTCAGTACTGTCTACACTAACTGGCAGCAGCTCTTGATGGTTTTACGCAGGAGTCTGTTCCAGCCGTATCTGGAGATGCTGAAGCTGGGATCTTCAGCATGCAAAGCAGATCTATGGCTCTCTCCTTCTCCCCAAGAAAGCACCTCTTGGGACTCAAACCTATGCTGCTAAAGCAGTTCCTTAATCCCTCAACCACACAATTCCCCATTTCAGTGCCCCCGGTGGTAACTATTTTTTATTTGTTATTTGAAACCAAGGAGATTGGTGTATAGCAATCTCTTCCTAACTGAAGCGAACTTTCCATAAAGCACGGTTGCTACTATCGTTCTATGCGAAGGCTGCGTTGCTCTTGTTGCCTGGTATTAGCTCAGGCTTGCTTAAATCCCTGCCCGAGTTGCCAACTAAGATGTCAGCGTGCCAGATAGCGCCAGGTGTTCTACTTTTGAAACAAAAACCTAAGGATTGCCCAGCGGGCTCTGTCCTACTCTGCAACCTCTCTAGACGAAGCATGATGGCTCAATCACTCGGATCTGCGCAACTAGCAATTCTGCAATTGCCACACAACTGCCTGTTGCACGGTTGCAACAAGTCATTCCTTTAGTGTGGCAGAACCCACACCTTGGAACTCTTTGCCTATTGAAATCACACTGACACCATCACTGTACACTTCTTCTTCTTTACACCTGCTGAAGGAAAAAAATCTGTTTGGGCAGGCCTATAAAGAAACATGATTTGGTTACATCTGTGTGTTTTTTTTAAAAAAAAAATCCATCAGAGGTTTGTTTTTTTTAAAAAAAATAATCTTTATCGCTTTTAAAACTTACAAGAAAAGAAGAAAGAAGAAAATAAGCGAAAGAAAAAGACAAAATAGAGCAGAGAAGGAAAAAAAAGGAGAAAGAAAAGAGAAAACAATACAATACAATACAATAAACAATACAAGACACAACCTTAACACACTAAACTAAACAAAGCAAAAGAACAACAATTTAAAAACATATATCATACCATTTCATTACTCTATCTTTCATTCCCTTATTTCATCGACCTCCTCTCACCTCCCTTTTTGTATTCCACTTCTATTACTTGTTTCAGCAATTCCTTTCCATCTTTCTCTATTTTTATCATTATGAATATCTTAACATATTTTGTACCTTATTTTCCATTAATACTGAAATACTTATTTGTACCTAACTCCTTATAACATTTCTGCTAAAGCCATAAAATTTCATTCCAACAATTTTCTAACACTCATTAAATTTACAATATTTCTATATATAAACTTTAAACTTTCCCAATCTTCTACCACCATCTCTTCTCCCTGGTCTCGGATTCTGCCAGTCATTTCCGTCCATTCCATATAGTTCATCAACCTGGAGATCTTCTGTCCGAGGCTCTTAAATCTTTTCCAAGTCCCTTCTGCAGTTTTTCTTCATATTCTTTGATGCTGAGGGTGCTGAAGCGCAGGTCTTGGGGGGGGGGCCCGACCCAACCATGCCCCCATTCCCTCTCGACAGACCAACCAACTCTCCACAGCTAAAAGCAGTGTCCATACAATATATCAAATCATGTTTCAAGGCTCCCCCAGATCCAAAGGCCCCCACAACTCCAATCACCTCCTGACCCAGATTCAGGACCCAAAGGTCAGTAAATCTCTGCATGAAAGAGTCTATCCAACCTTCCTTCTTCAATCCAAACAGGGCTCCAATCTTCAAATTCTGACTTTTTCTATATTCATTCATAAAAGGCCTCCACTTATAGTCCTCAGTTTGCCTCTGTAAAACTGGGGCTTCCACTTGTATTATTTTAGGTTTAACAACACCAACATTCTCCTTCGTCTTCTCCCCAGTTTGTCCTGTCAAAGTAGGTTCCTGTGTCAAATCCTGAACAATTTCTGTATTAATGGTCACTTTTTGTTCCAAATTAGTCACTTTTTGTCCCAAGTTCTCAAGTTTGGTATTCATAGCGTCCGTCTTCTTGTGGAGCTGTTCCAACAAATAGCTTATCTTACATAATACAGTCACTAAGGCTCCTTCTGTCAACATTCTTAAAGTCCAAGGTCGATCTCTATTTCACACAGTTCTTATCTTGCAACTGGAAAAACCCCAGCTCCACTCTTGTAACTGTTTCAAAAGCTCCCTCTAGAGGGAAACAGTCTCCACTTGTATCAATCCTTTCAAACACAGTTTAAACTATAAAGATAGTTTCTTTCCCTACTTTTTAAACGCAGATGAGTACGATGGAAACAATATATTTCTCTTATTGCTAGCTGTCAAAAAACGTCACTCTTTCTGGCAGCCCATTTCCAGGTTCGGAGCAGTGGTAATTTGGTTTTTCACTCTCTCCTGCAGGCTCACTAGGTCCAAAATTTCCCCTCTTCTCCTGCTTCCAAGGGGGTTTAATAGTTTTAACCGATGGAGATTTAATCCTTTACAAAAAATAAACTTTCCAAGGCTTTAACTTGCAACTTCTTTGCTTCAATCTGTTTACAAAAAAGGAAGGTGGACTTCCTGTTTAGAACCTTCCCGTTTCGATGCCAAATTAATGAATTTAAGGATCTGATTTTCCGTTCTACTCACGGGTAGTTGTTTAAAATCCAATTGTCCACAGGAAAAAGTCAGCGCTCTCCGGCAACAGCGATGCGGCTTCACTCCGTGAAAGAAGCAGTCAATTCAAAGCACCGCGCCACTCACCCCACTTCGCTCCGGATCCCCAAATCAGGGTTTCTCCGCGAGTAGGGGAGGCGCAAAGGGTGCCAGCCGAATCCCAAGTTCACAGGCTTCTCCCGCCTGTGATTTCAGTGGGTCTCCGCCTTCGCCGTGGCGGTCAGACCCTAATTTCCGCGGAGCAAATTCCTCCCGATCGGAGGAACTCCGCCATTGCCTGGAGGCGCCAACCCGGAAGTCGGTATAAATTCCCATCAGAGGTTTTATTGCGTTTAGATGCTTTTAACAGTTTTTAGGTGTTTTAAATAATAATTATTATTATTTGGGGGTTTTGTTTTAACTACAGGAGTATTTTAAGCCCTGAGCTCCTTTGGGAGGAAAAGCAGGGTATAAATTTAATAAAGAAATAAGCAGATAGGCTAAAGTGTGTTCCTGGGCTGTGCCAGTTCTGCCAGGGGCAGGATGGGAGAGGAAACATATGTGATTAAAGGCTCCCCCACAATAAAAGAAAAAAAACCCTATGCATGAAAGTCAAGAAGGGAGCCAGGGTAGAGTCCTTCTCCTCAACATAATGCCTTTCTACATGCAAAGGCCTTTTCCCCCCATACGCTGTCATATTCAATCATGTGATGTCCCACCTGAAATCTAAGCCGTACAGTCCAGGAAGAAAGACCACTATCTCATCTGCTGCATGGCCATCACAGGGCCTTATATAAAGCCTTAAATCAGAGGAAGCTGTTAAGACTACAACTCCCATCATCCCTGACTGTTGGGAGGGCATCAGGATGGCTACTCCCAATATAAATCAAAGGTTGCTCTACGTTCCCATCTTCACTATATGTTTAAAGCAGTTTCATACCGCTTTAAACAGCCATAGCTGAAGTCTGCTAAGGGTACTGAGAGTTGTTGTTTTTGTTGCTTGGGTTTATTAAATTTCTACACCGTCCTTCATCTGATGATCACAAGGCGGCTTACAATATAAAATCACAAAATGCATGCCATAATAACAAGCAAAAATAATGACCCACCCACTTTTGAGATTGAAATAATATTCATAGAACTGTAGAGTTGGAAGAAACTGTGCAGGAATCTTTCACCTAGCCTTGGGCTCGAACTCACAACCCTGAGATTCAGGGTCTCATGCTGTACCGACTGAGCTCAATATCACAGGTGGAATTTGAGAATAAATCTGCTTGTTTTTACCATATTAAATGTTTAATTAAAGGTAAAGGTAAAGGTAAAGCATGACTAAGCCACTTCTGGCGAACCAGAGCAGCGCATGGAAACGCCGTTTACCTTCCCGCCGGTTTGTGCTTTCAAACTGCTAGGTTGGCAGGAGCAGGGACTGAGCAACGGGAGCTCACCCCATCGCGGGGATTCGAACCGCCGACCTTCTGATCGGCAAGTCCTAGGCTCTGTGGTTTAACCCACAGCGCCACCATATTCCCCTCATGGAGCTACAATTCCCAGAGTTCCCTAGGAAGAGTGACTTCTTGCTAAACCCCTCTGGGAATTTTAGCTCTGGGAATAGCCTTGAAGCTCACTGGGTGACCTTGGGCTGGTCACTCTCTCACTCGCAGGCTAAGCTACCTCATAGGGTAGTTGTGAGGATAAAAGGGGAGGGATAGAAGGGGTCTGCATTCCCTGACCTTCTTGGAAGAATGAGGTGCTTTTTAAAAAAACATTAGCCAAATTAAATCAATGGGGCCAATTTTAAATTGGGGGAGGGGCTAAACATTAAGAGTGCATATATATTTTTAAAAACTGTTCTCTTGTAGCTGTGACAAGGAAGAAGACAGAAAACATTAAGAGATGTTCTGTGCTTCTAACACTGTGGTATATTTTGTTTACCAACCTTGGGGGGGCGGGAGTTAGCTTGCACTTCCTTCCATATTTCAAAAATAGAGGGTCCAGGCAATATGTACATTTATTTAAACTTAATGGATTAATCACTCAATTAATCAGTCGGAAGGCAGATGACTAATCAAGTAAATAATCTCCAATTGGTTTGTTAAATAGCCCCACTAATAGCCACGGCCCTTCATATTATCATCTTCTAACGCTTTAAAAAGCTATTTATGCATCCTGCGGCATCCTGCAGCCATGAGTATCATTGATTAATTAGGTGTTGCCTGAAATGGTAGCCATTTCTACGGATCTTCTCCTCAAGCCCCCTGCCCTATCAGTTTTAGCAAATGACTCTGGTGGATAGCATTCTGAGTGGACAGCAAGTTGTTTTTCTCCCTGCTAGCGAATCCATCTATCCCAGCTTCCTGGTTCCAACAAAGGACAGCCCAGCTGGGCAATAAGGCATATATACCTTGCCCTCCTGTTTGCCCTCAACCTGTGATATCTGAACACAGAGGCTCCCAATCCTAACATGTTCCTGTATTAACTTACAAGATCCTAAACAACTCCGAGTCCAGGATACTTTGATGGCCGGTTGGTTGGTTACTTGCCCGATCACTGAGCTCTTTGTGGGGAGTTGCTGCTAATAGTTCCCCGATGGCTTGGATGCAGGGCTCATATCCACCAGGAACCTTGTGTTCAGTATTGGGGACCCAATTTAATGGCACTCACTTCCAGGTGAGGTCAGACAGGCCCCATCTCCCTGTTGAACTTCCTGTGCCTGCTGAAGACTTATTTGTTCCAGAAGGCTTTTTAATGGATCCCTAATTTTATATATCTAAAACTCTCTTTTTTTGTGTGCTGTTTAGAGGCGGCAGTAATTAAGTGGTTATATAAATTGTCAAAATTAATAATAATAATAAAACTATCATGGCAAAAAAGATAATCATTATTATAATAATTACATTTTTATCCCATAGCTCAAGATGGTGTGCATGGCTCTCCCTGCCTTCATTTTATCCTCACAACAACCTTGTGAAGTTGGGAGTTGAAATCCAATGACATTTGGATGGCCACTGTTTTCCCCTATTATATTTATTTATATTTATATTTTACCTGCCCTCCTCGGAGCTCAAGATGGTGTACATAATTTACTGCCTCCCCATTTTATCCCCACAACAATCCTCTGAGGTAGGCTAGGCTGAAAGTCAATGACTGACCCAAGATCACTCAGTGAGCTTCATGACTGAGTGGGGATTCGAATCACACTACACTGGCTTTCTGCTACACATAAACCAAACATAATGATCAGCAGAGATGGTCCTTAGTAAACCTGTTATTGGCCTTTCAATGTGGGTAGAGTGGTTCGGAACACAGCAGTTTGCACGCTTACACAGAAGTAAGCTCACTGATTTCAATGGGAACCGTGCATTAGGACTGCAGCCTTGGTTGTCTATTATTGTACAAAGAGTGTCTCAAATACGGAGAGGGTTGTTTTGCCCCAGGCTAAGCAGAGGGAAGCCTTTCAGATGATCCCAGCTTCAAAGTAAATGAGTTTGAAGGACTTAGCAATCGCATCAATTTTCCTGAAAACGTTTTAAAACATTTTAAAGAATTCAATATGCTAAATGGAAAGCCAGGTTGAACCCAAAACGGTCCTCATGTTAATGGGAAAACTTATCAGAATTAGAGCAGGCAGGGTGGGAGACAAAACTTTTTATAGAAAAGTGATCTTTTAACACATTTTGGATTAAAATGGTTGAGGGTATCATCCCAATCCAGTTATTGGGAACTTTGTGAAACTGAATAGCAGGGGCTTAGTGGAATATGGTGTTATAAAGGCATGTATTCATATTAATGCATTGTATAATTACAGGGTCGTATCCAATGCTAGTCCTACCCAGGACAGACCCATAGAAATTAATGAACTTGTCACTCATGCCCACTATTTGCAATAGGTCTATACAGAGTAGGGCACTGGATACAGCCCTAAGGGTTGTAATTGACTAACTTTTACTGAGAACGGACCCACTGAGATTGGTGGCTATGGCTAACTTAGACCTATTAATTTCAGTGGGTCTACTCTGAGCAAACTTTAGCTGAATACAGCTTTATGCGGGTAATTAGTATTTTCAGAAAGATTTCTAATATTTTAGAACATTTGCAATGAGAATATAAGAACAATACGTGGGTTTACTGTTGCAGCATATGGATTATTTTTGCATATAGATTTGTGAATTTTTTGTGTTTGTGCGTGTGTACACACACACACACACACTAGTACTCATCTCACAATAAAAGTGTTGTAGGTGCCAGCCTAGAAAATCTGCCATTATTATTATTATTATTATTATTATTATTATACTGTCCTTCATTAAAAGACCTCAGGGCGGTTCACAAGATAAAAATACAAAAAAGAAGCACAAATAAATATTCAAAACAAAAGCAACGAAACAATACCCCCCCAAAAAAACCACATTTACAAGGCTGTAGAATATTAATCAGTCAAAGAGACCTGATTGAAGAGGAACGCTATTTTTAGATAAATAAACACACAAAACTAAGTTGTACTCAGAGCAGACCAGCTAAAACCAATGGATCTAAGACAGTCATGTCCATTCCTTTCAATGAACTAGCACTACATATAATGCAACGCAGACAGAGAAAGGAATCCTGTTTTATCTTAAAGACTATCATATATACATTCTTTGGTGGGCTAGATCCTGGACCCTAGACCCTGGACCAACCTTTAAATGTGACAGGTTACAGAAATGTACTAGATGAGAGGGGAGGAATAAAGAAAGACTCTAGTCTTCCCAGGGATAGGCAAGACAGCCGGATCCCCAGTTCATAATCTCCATCCCAGGGAGGAATAACCTTGGGAAGGAATGAGATTCAGGGGAGCATTGCTCAAGCGAAGAGCTGGTGCTCCCCCTAGCCACCGCCGTGGGGAAGTGTGCCCTCTTGTCACCTGCCGGTGGAAAGAGAGAGCGAGAGAGAGAGGTGGAAAAAACGCAGCCCAAATTAAGTGTTTTCACTCGGTGGAAATGAAATGTTTTGCAAGATGAAACAGAAATAAAATTGTGGTTTTAGGTAATTACTAGTTGGCATTTACATATCACAGGCTGGTTCAACACCTATTCATTTTCCTCTTTTATTTTCAATTTTTTAAAATTGCTCATTAAAACCTAGCATATGACAGGGACAAGGGAGAGAAGGGAGAGGGTGTATGGGGGGGATTATTCTCCTTTTTGTATGTGGTTTTTATTATTTTATTATGATAAAGTACTACAAAAATCCCCAGATCTTCTTTAAATACAGTTTATCTCTAATGATCACAGGCAGGCACCACTTAAAGGCTGTGATCCTGCAACAGACATTTTACCTGGGAGCAAACCCCCTTTAAAATTCAGTGGGACTGACTTCTGAGTTAGACAAAGGTAGGATTGAGCTGTTGAAGGTTCCCTAGGATTGTGGCACAAGGTGAGAGGTTGGGGTGCTGTGGCGGCAATGCCCTCCCCTCTCACAGCTACACTCAATTAAGATTAAGAAGAGCGGTGAAAGGTAAGCTGTCGCTCTCACCCTGCATAATCTGGGTTTTATTCTGGGACCAAGCCAGCTTCTGCAGCCTACTGCCTAGCAGTGAGTGAATAATAATAATAATAATAATAATAATAATAATAATAATAATACAATTTTCCCACCCGCTTCTCCAAAGCAGTAAAAGATATAAGCTACAATGCTGACCCATTAGGTGAGGGGAAAATAAAATCCAAGCAGCAGCAACAGTATAAAACCTCTTCTCAAAAATAAGCAAGAGCACACTTTTGAGTTCAGCAGGGCTCTTCATCAGGCTGAATGTTAAGAAGGAACGCAGGAGCAAAGGAACTCCATGACTCAGAATCACCATAAACCTTCAGCCTTTAAATAAAGAAAAAAGGGGGAAAAAGCACATCTAGCTGTCAGTCAGCTGACATTACCCAATGACCGAGTGCCATCAGCTAATGGTTGGGGTTCAATTCTGCTCAGTTTGACTACACACGCCAGTTTCCTCCCTGCAGAAGGCAGGATTTAACACGCATATGCACGGTCCATTAGTTGATGAGTGGAGGGTTAAATCCTGTTCTGCAGTTGCCCCCGCCTCCCCATCCCTGTGAGTCAACTTTGACAGGTGGGTGGTCCTGCCAGTCACCTGTTGTCAGTATGACAGCAAATGATTGAGAGGGAGGTGGTCTTGCCCCTTGTCGAAGCTGGCCCACAGGGTGGGAGGAAGAAAAGATCTGAGGCCCACAGCTCAAAGAGATTCCACACCCCTGAGATAGGGG